TTTTTTTTTTTTTTTTTTAAATCTGTTAAGTCCACTGAATGGAGCAAATAGAAACAGAACAGCTTTGGTGGAAATGGGATAGGCTCTTGGGGTTCCTGGAGGCTCCTTATGTGATTCTATTTGGATTCCACATTTAGGGAGCACCATGGGGAATGGGGACTCAAGAGATCTCCAAGGATCAGGACAGCACTGCCACAATTAAATCAATCACACCAGGAAGTGATGCCAGATATAAGTAGGCACTGGGTGATGCATGTCGCGAGTGGGGACTGATGTGACAGCGTGAGGACTGGCAAAGGGGCAGGGGGGGGCAGATGGGAGATGATGGTAACGGCCCCCCAGGTGGGATGGTCATGTTCTAGTCCCTTCAGTGGCCTCTCATGCCTTTGCTTAGAGTGGCACTATGGTCCCAGGGTCCAGTTCTTGGGCTGGGTGTGTTACTGTGCAGATGGACACAGTTGGTGGGTTGGCTGGGCTATAACTTGGGACCAGGAGACATGGGGTTTGTAGTCTTGATCAGGATCCTCCTGGGCAGATCTGGTTCCGTTTCTGCTGTGCTAATCATCACTACAGTCTTATCTCCAGCATTGGCAATGACTGTACTCTTGGCCGGGGTCTCTGTGTGACAGCTGGGACCTTGTTTAGGTGACCAGATGTCCTGGGTGGTCAGTTGCCTATGATGTCCCAAGCATTATTGATATGTCTGGCCAAAAGCAATGATTTAGGCACAATTTCTTGGGCTTCCCATTTGCTTTTGGTGGCCAGAACTTCCCCACAAGTACCATGGGGACTAAGCTATTTGAAGCCAGGATAGAGAAGCACCATATCTGCAGCTGGTTCCCATGGATCTTTATCTTGATGATGCTAACAAAGGACTGCTTTCCACCCACAGCCTCCATGTATTTACGCCAGGGCAGAGAACTTTGGAACCATCATTGCAGCAGCCTTCCTTCCCCATTCTTCATCTCTCTACAGATTTCCCAGGTGCTGCACATCTGTTTGGGGTGGGAATGGCCTGGCACAGATGCCCGATAATCCGCCTAATGTGCACCAGTGCAGACATTGCTAATCGATCACAACTCTCTCTCCCTTGAGTCTAAATGAGGGCTCATGATCCTTTTCTGTAACGCTCTCTAGCAATGGAGGCAAATAACAGGAGCTGGCACCCAAATGCCATTTTTTATGTGTGGCATCCTTTCATGTATTCATTCATGCATGCATCTAGTAAAACATCGATTGAGTTTCTCTTAGAAGCTAAATACTATTCCATGCAAGGAAAAGAAACATGGTCGCTGCCTTGGAGGAGCTCTGAGTGTGTAGTCAGATATGGAAGTGGCTGATAACTGCAAAATGCTGTTAGCAAGGTTGAGAACTATGTTTTCAGGAGCTGAGAAGAGCCAGAGTCTAATTGCTGAAGATTACAGAAGGAGTAGAGCCTTCTGTGCTGAGCAGGATCAAGCCCATGTGTTGTTGTGTTCCTTGTCTTCATAATTCAAACAGTGACTGGCATGGCCTTATTGAGTCACTGGGAAGGCCTGGCCCAGAAAAGCCTGGTGACCTGGCCTCACTCCCGCCTTCTCTCCCACAGGAGCAGGGGCTAAAGGCCAACAACTCCAAAGAGTTAAGCATGTGCTTCACAGAGGTGAGTAAGGGTAGCATGAGCGGTGGGTGTAGGAAACTGGTACACAGCAGGCTATTTCCTAGGTGAGCCTTGCACTTTAAACCCCTGAATCCCATTGCATAGCTGAGCTCCTGGTCCCACCTGGACCTGAGTAGGCATCATTCTGCTGGGTGGGGGAGAGCAAGATTCTGCAGCCAGAATCCATGGCTTCTTCCCCCAAGGAGTGGCTGCTTTGAATGGAGGCCCTCCCATACTTTCCTTACTCTTTAGAGGGCTGGGAAAGTGATATTTACCTTCCTTTGAAGGAGCCCACCCACTTAGGCATCTGTGTGACTTATAGATCTAAGATGGTAACTTGGGTGAGAAGAGGTCAGGTAAAATTTCGCAGGCGGGAGAGAAGCTCAATTAGGCTTCTGGAGGAAGAGGCATCCTATACATTAGGAACAGGGAGAATATGGCCTCCTGTTCTCCTGTACCTCCAACAAGCAGGTCCTTAGAGTCCCTGACCTTCTCTTGGGGGTCTTTGAATCATCTCCCTCATTAGTCTCGATGTGCTGCCCACTCCCTGTACCTCACGGCTCAGAGCCCAGAAGGGGCCAAGCCATTCCTGTGCTTCTGCCCCACCTCACCCCATGGAAACCCAGCTCCACCTTCTGAGTGCCAGAAAGGGTCCTCTGGATAGCCTGAGACATGGGGCTAGAGCTGGGGTTATTCCTGATTCCAGCCCTGCTGATGTTTTTTTCTGTTGTTGTTGTTGTCATCATTGGTGGTGGTGTTGTCGTTTTCTCTTTGTGTTTTTGCTTTTGCTGTGGACTCAGCTCACGACAAATATCATCCCAGGGAGCAAAAAGGTGATCAAACTTAACTCAGGCCTCAGCAGAGCTCGACCGACGGCTGCCTTCACCGTGCTCCCCTTCCTGATGCTGACACTGGCCTTGTAGGCGCTGGGGACTGCATCGTGAGATTTCTACAAGCTACAGAACTCCCGCCTGAGAAATGGAAAGATCCCAGACACACACGCACAACTGCACACACACACACACACACACACACACACACACACACACACACACACCTACCTTGCAAAAAATTTTTTTCCTACCTTGTCTCTGAACCTGTCTCCTCCCAGGTTTCTGCTCTGGAGAAGTTTTTCTAAACCAAACAGACAAGCAGGAGGGCAGCCTGACAGCCAGCCCAGAGGTCCCCTGGCAAGGGACCCCCAGTGCCGAGGAGGGCGCAGGCTGTAGAAATGCCCTTTACTGTCTCCGGTGTTTTTATCTCTGGACCCTTCTGAAGCGAGAGACCAAGGCGAGACCCCTGCTGTGGAAGGGACTGTGCTGTGCCTGATGCAGGCTGGGGACAGGACAACTGCAGCTACTCTCTCCAGCTGCCCACTTTGGGGACCTGCCAGGGTCTCGAAGTGGGCATCATTCAGTGGAGAAGCAGGGCTGGCCATGGGGTCCAGCTAGACCTGGTTGGCCCCTCCTCTTACCTTCAAAGATGGAGATGGCTTGGCCTCCTGGGGCTGTGTCTGGTATGGGAACCCCCAGGCTGTGCTGGGCCCCTTTGACTGTAGTGTGGAGGGGGTTCTAGGGCCAGCTCCAGGAGGGCCTGGGAGATGAGCTCTAAGGTACATCCTCCTGATGGCAGGAATTTTGAAGTCAGAGAGATACGATGCTTTACTGGCTTTCTTGGCTTCCTTGGGTCCGTTTGGTGGGGCTCCCCTTGGGAGAGGGGCCACAGAGGGAGGCAGAAGAGACCGTGGCACAACACCATCTGGTCTCCGGAGCTTGCGCCTGCTCTCCTTTCCTCTACTCGTTCCCACTTTCTCTTTCCTCATTGCTGAGACACATGTCAACTGTCTGTACATAATGAGGCTCCTTTCTCAACATAGGTGTATATACACGCCCGTATACATATATCCTGTGGTCTCCCTTTTCTTTCCTTTTTCTAAGAAACAAAACTATCAAAATAATACCCTACAGATGAGCGAAAATGTATTATTGTAAAGTTTATTTTTTTTAATAATGTTGTCTATAATGGAAAAAAAAAATGGAAATGGACTCCTGGGGCCCCGCTCCAGTTGGGCTGATGGGGCTGTGGCTGAGGAGTCCTGATCCGCATTCACTTAACCAAGGCTCCAATAAACGTACTAGGAAGCAAGCTGCCTTCTGCCTCTGCCGTGTGCCTTCTGCCCAGTGGGCCCAATGCCACTTGTTGGGGGCTTGCCTGGGGTTCCCTCTGGGCCTGGGGAAGTTCGCGTGCATGTGTGTGTATGCGTGTGTGTGCACACCTGTGCCTCATCCAAGCATCCCAGTGAAGTCCCAGCGAGAATGGATGGATGGAACTCCCAGTGGACATGGTTTTACACCCGGCAGGCCTGAAGGTCTCAGCCGTAGTGAGTTTGAGGTCCCTTTGCCTGTTCTCACTTGCCTCCCCTTCCTCGTCAGTATCAGAGCCTGTTGTTTCTGGACTGGAAAAGAGCAATGAGAAGTGAGTGGACAGGAAGGGACAGCCTGGTGTCACAACGATTGCAGTATGATTTGGTCTCCAGGCAGCCTGAGTGGCCCTGCCTATGTTCTGTGCAGAGTTGTCCCTCCTGGGACTCTTGGTCTGTTTGAGGTATGTGAGTGTGAGGACAGGCACCTGGCCTCTTGGGTCCCACCAGAAAAGGAAGGTGACTGAGTGTTTTGCGGTCAGGTTCCCTTCCACCCCTTCCTTCTCTCTGTGGAGGGATCTGGGTGCTCCCAGGGGCTTCTCCCTGGTAGAAAGTGTGCACACGTGGGCCTGCATGTGTGCACAGGTATCAGCTGTGCAAATGTCCATGAGCACATGAGTGTGTGCAGCAGCAGGAGGGAGAAGGGCAGAGCTGCATGGGATCCGTCCTGTCACTGTCTAGTGATAGGATGACATTTTCCAGCCTCCAGATCCTGGGTCCACTCTGATGGCTCTAGTTTCTGGCTGCACATGTGTCAGTAGCATCTGTTCACAGCAGGGACACTGCGCTGTGTTGTGCCCGGCCTCTGCCTGAGGTAGGACAATGAGCCAGCCAGCTCTCTTTCCTGCCATTGCTGGCCTTCCAGTGGACAGAAGTGATCTGATGTCACCCGGGAATCCATATTGCTTGCAAATGGCTCAGACAGTAATTCGCTGTGAGGCTGTCGGGGGAGGTGACTCACAGCGTCTGAAGGAGGACCAGGGGGCTGGCTAGGACTGGAAGATGCCCAGTCTGCAAGGCAGGATCCCCTGACCATCCACATGCTGCTGCCTGCGTGACAAATGGCCACCAGCTGGCTGGAGTGGCCCTTGTGCCTCCCCCGTCCATCCTTGGTGTGAGGAGGAGGATAAGTTGTGACTGGTATTCCTAATAGGGAGCTCCTGGGCAGGATAATGGGGGTGGGAAGAAAATATCTCACAAGGAAGTCAAGGTGCCACTATGGAGGCGGAATGGATGCAAGGCACTTTTACTCTGCCTTCAGATGTTACCCCATTCATGTAGCACATGGCTGAGATTTTTACTGTTAAGTGTTTGTTCCTTTGGTCGGGACCATTCCTTTTCTGTGTTCCCTTCAACATATGTAAAGAGTGGGGCAGAGTAATGTTGATTTTAGGGTTGGGGGAATAGACGAAGGTGAGTAAACCGGAAAGGGATCAGGAGCCAATTGGCAGGGGCCATCAGAGAGAGAGATTCTGGCATTATTTTGGGAAACATGCAGTCCCAGGCAGTGGAGGCCCCTGTATGCTCACCTCAGAGTGGGCAGAGCATATAAAGTTAGCCACTGGCATCTGTCCGCAAGACTGTCTCACCTCTGCTCTTGGTTCCAGGACCTGGACAGGTCTGAAACCGTGGGAATGCTTCTACTTTTGTAGGTAAGCTTCCAGCATGGGCATTTATGCTCAGCCAAGAACCCAGACACCTTCTGTCCACCTGGCTCTGGCCTCTGCATCCTTCCTCACAGTGCAGTGAGGTCCACCTGCCCAGGGTGAGGGCTCAAGGTGAGACCTTCAGTGGGGACTAAGGAGATCCACTAGGGAACTCAGGGTTCTGGATTCAAGTGAGCAGGGATGCTCATTCTATGCAGACCTAATGGTTGTCTTCACAGCTAGGCCTCTGCGTTGTGTTGAGACCTGTCACAGGTGTCATCCGAGTTCCTGGTAGCTCGGGCCTTGCCTGTGTAACATGGGTGGCAACATCAGTTTCTAGGACCCTGGGTCCAATCCTGTGCTTTCTGGCCTTACCAGGAAACAAGTTCTGCCCATGGTGAGCCCTGTAGTCCCCAGCAGACCCTCCTGATGCCAGCCAGTTCTAGGCCTGCCAGGATGGCCACCCCTCGCTGTTCGCAGCCTCCCATCATGGCTCAGTGGTTCGCTGGGATACTCACTGCTGCAGGCTGCTCAATGCTGGGCCTGTCGGCTTCTAGCTATGGACTGCCAAATACGGGTATAAGACACAGACACCTTTACTCACAGAAGCCCAAAGCTGCAGTGTTGCCTGCTGGCTGGTAGAATCCTTTGCCAGCATTTTCTAGTCTGCGCAGTGAGTTTACATCAGACTACTCCTGCCAAATGACCAGGATGCCAGTGGTGGGGGGACTAGTCCTCCCTTCCATGTCAGTACAAGGGCACATGCTCAGGACACATTGCCCACACTTCTGAGTGTCTCCATGGATATAGATATTTATCTCCTCAAAATAGAAGAAAAATTTTTTTAGGAAAAGCAAAACAAAAACTGATAAACAGAGTGGGTGACATTCTTTGGGGTCTAAGGAGTAGAAAGGCTGGCTTTTGGTCGCTTATAGGAAATCTTGTCACCTTGTTCAATCTTCTTCATTTTAGATGACTTCTAAAGTCCATAATGCTAAACAGGTTCTAGAAGAGAGGAAGAAACACACAGATGGACAGAGGTTGACTCTGAGGCAGACACAAAGCGGTCCACCTGGTTTTCCTACCCCTGCGGTGTCCCCACCAATGCTCTGGACAGCAGAGACACGCCCAGTCTGCTGGGTGACTGCTTGGAATTTAAAATCCCAGGTGTGTTTTTAAAAACTCAGCCATACTACTTTCTCCAATGCTTTCTCCATGAAAACAAATGGCATACGTGGAAAGGCTCCGAAATCCCTGCAAAGACGGTGTGCACAAAGTCAAGCCGGTGCGGGGTGTCGACTCACCAGACCTTTATTTGCCGTGTCCCACTTTCAGCTTAAAGCAGGGGTTTGTGCTGCATCTTCCCTGGGAGAACAATGGGATCAAATATTCTGGAAGGACTTTAAGAGCACTAGTGAAAATAAAAAATTCAAATGTAGATGCCTGAAAATTTGCATATCTAGAGATTTAACTCATACTTGCATAGCCCTCATCAGAAGCCGGATACTGTTCTGAAACTGTGCAAATGTTAATTCATTGAGTTCCCACTGGGACCCAGAGGGGTTGGTGCAGTACTCCCATTCTGCCAAGCAGACTAAAGCCCAGAGGCGTTCCTGCGGAGGGGAAGCGGCAAAGCTCAAACCCAGGCACCTGGCTCGAGGTTAGCGTGCATTGGCACCCAGAACCGAACTCTACATGTGCCTTGCCTGTGTTATCCCAGGCAGCTTCAGCCGACCTGGGTGTACGGCAGTGTCTTCTCTTCCCCTCCAGCACCCTCTGCACTTGGCACTTGTAGGGTCAAAGGTAGCAGAGCATCAACAGATGCAGAGCTGGGTGTGCCTTTGGGAGCCTACGAGGTAATGGGGAGGGAGTTTTATAAAAGACTCCATGAAATCAAAGGTGTGGACTTGGAGGAAGGAAGGAGAGAGAGGAAGGGGCTCCTTGATGAAATGGACCCCAGCTCAAGGCCTTTCTGGTAGGGCAGAGGAGGATAGTGCTATTCAGTTCTTCTAGAATTGATGACAACCTTGTTTGGTAATGGCTTCGTTAGAAGATAGCCTCTCCAGGAAGAGCCGGACCAGCTGGGAACCTCTTGGAGGGGGATCCTTTTGCTTGTTGATCTTTGATTGTTCGTGCCTCATGGTTAAGAGGAGAGAGGCTAAACTCAGGGATTAAGAGGACTTGATTCAAATTCCAGGCCTGCTACTGACCAATTGGGAAATTATTTCAAATCTGAGCTTTGGTTTTCTCAACTGTAAAACAATGATTCCTTCCAGCCTCACAAGCATGTTGTGATGACATGGGGCATCTTGCCAGTGCCTGGCACACAGTGGGCTCTCAGCCAGGTGCCCCCTCACCCAGTGGGTCCACTGCCCCAGGCTGCCATGAGTCCTCAGTACGTGCCTTACTGGCCAGTCTTTCTCTTGGGTTCAGCCTTGGAGCCTCTCTGTTTCTTCTTTCTGTGTCCTAAGAAGCTTTAGAATCTCTGGGGGCAGACCAGTGAGTGTGACTCTTCAGGCGCCCGAGCTACAGGGCATCTAAATGTCATTCTCTCGAGTCCCTTTGATTGGCTGTCCCCCTCTCCACCCATGAAGACAGAGGGTATTGTGGCTGGAGCAACACTACCACCTTGAAAATGTGAGCAGGAAGTGTCGATTTGTCCTGGAGTTGAGATGAGGGGGTTGTTAGTGCCTATGGGAAGGAGACTTGTGTGTGGTCCCTGCTTGGGTCAAGCAAGAGCAGAGCAGGATTTGCTACTGTGACTCTGAGGAGGTCCCTGTGGGGAAGGCCCTGGGTTCCCAAAGTCACCTAATATTTTCTGGGCAGAGCTGTCTCATCCATGTGCTGCTTCTTATAGAAATCATCTGGGAACCAGGTGAGAGTGTGATGACATGTCTTAGTCATTTTCTTTCCTGGAGGACTCAAGTAAAGAGGCAGGGGACCCAGGTTCAAACCCTGGCTCTGCTATCTGCTAATGCCATTAGCTAAGAGTGAGCCTTTCTGAGCCTGCTTTAGATGAGGAGCCAGAAAACTTTCTCTATGAAGGGCCAGACAGGAGACACAGTGGGTGAGGTGGCCCTAGCCACGTCAGTTGTAACTATCAACTACAACTACAGCTCAAAAATCTGTCACAGGAAATATATCAAAAACTGGGCCTGGCTGTCAATAAAACAGAAACAAGCCCACACCCAGTTTGGCCCACAGTCCCCGCTCTAGATGCTTTCCGAGTCTGCGCTGTGAATTGCGGGCAGTTTGGGCACAGAATGATGCAGCAATGAGTGACTGACGGTCGGTGGGGCTGAAGTCAGCCTTGGGGTGGAGGAGAAGGAAAGGATGTGGGCTCATGGGCGAGCTGGTGGTAGAGAAAGTTTAGGGAAGGGTCCTACATTGGGGCCAGGGGTGCAAGGACAAAAATCAAGTGGCCTCTGGAGCTTGGGGACTGTGTGTGCTCTGCAGGGGGACATGGGGCCAGCAGTGAGCGTGGGGCTGAAATCCAGGTGCTCTAAGCTCACTGTCTGCACACCAATCTGGGCCTTGACCCTGAGGGCTGGACGTCATTCCCTAATTTTCCCAGAGGCTTCTGAATTTGAGTGGGGTCCTGTGGTACAGAACAAGCAGAGCTGCCACTCTGGGGCTGGTGGGGACCAGAGGCATGCGAACAGGGAAGGCTGGATTTGCCAGCAGGACCCTGAGAAACCCACACAACTGTCCTCTGGCCACTTCACCTTTTGGATTCCACTTTTCCTTGTCCCCAAAGTGAGAGGCCAGAGGGCCTACTCTCCAGGATCCTCCTTCTGTAGGATCCTGGGGGGTCTCGGCTGCTGGTGGATTCTGAGCTCAACATCCCCATGCAAAATGACTTGGAAGGAGACAAAATGTACTTCTCTCAGCAAATATTGTCACCTTGCCTGTTGCTTCCATTTTTCACATAAGTCTGTGCAGGGCTCTGGAAGGTTGGTATGGCGCTCACTCTGGGTAGGGCTGACCAGAGGACTCCTCACTCTGTCCCACTCCATCTTCGCAATGGCATTTCTGGAGAAGCCAGGCTTGGGACTATGTTGAACAATGGCCCCCAGCCCCTAGCCTGGCTTCCTTCCTGGGGCACATTTGAGTCACACCTGACCTGGAGACCATCCAGCATCCAGAGATCATGGAGGAATCTCCTGCACGAGGCCCACCCAGACAGAAAGTGACGAATTCCCCTTAAACATCTCCACAGGTGGGAGTTTGTACAACCATGTGGGGGCCCATACTCCGGGTGTCAGAGTTCCTCAGCTGGAGGAGAGGCTTCCAGGAATAATGCTTCCTTGCTTTTTCCTATCTCCCTCCCCTCTCCTTTCCTGCTGGCCAACATATAGGTGGTTGGCAATTCAAGATAAAGGCTTCTGCTTTCACTCGAGTCCTTTTGAAAACCAGAGTCCAGTCCTCATGGGATGACACCTATTGGCTCAGTCCACCCTTCACTTTTGTCTTCCATGGAAGATGAAAGGCTTTCTTTAGGGTCCCAGCAACCCAAAATTACTCTTAATTCCTATTTTGTTAGAAAGCTAGCTGAGTGTGAGGCCACGGTGACAGGAAGGACCTGTCCTAAAACCTTCCTTTTGGGAAGTGTATTTATGGCATTTCTTCCCTGAGTGCCTGGGTGCTGCTGAGCGAACCTTCTCTTCCACCCAGAGGAGACTTGACCTTATTGCCAATTAGACATGGTCCATGGCTATTGTGATCCATGACAGTGATGACCCTTCATTCCAGGCCCTCAAACTTGCCTTCCTGCATCTCACTGTGCGGTCTCTGGCAGCCTTGCAGAACTAGAAGTATCCCCAAGAAGTTTGAAGAAGGTTTGTGGGGGGCCCTGCTGCAGATGGGAGGTCAGAGCTGAGCTGGCTTTGCTGGCTTTGGACATGGGTTGGCAGGACTGGGAAGGACCCACCTCACTGAATCTGTACCTTGCACCAGACCCCACTCTGAGCAGTCCCAGCCTCCTGGGGAAGGCTCGGCCCAGCTCAGGTTCTGGGCATCTCTGTGGATTCGGGTGCGTGTGATTTCAGAATGGAATCTGACATCTTTCCCAAGAGCCCCCTTTAGCACCCCTAGTTGCTTTTAGGAATTCAGCTTGGTACAGACTCAGAATCCAGTCATTCTCTTCCTGGGGTCTCCTCTTTCATCCTTTCTCTTCCAGAGCCTTCTCTGTCTAGCTGACTTCTTTCCTCCACCTTCTACTGCCGCCATTGTGCAGGCCCTGGGAAAAGAAGGGCTTTTCTTCTAAGTCTCTACTTTGGGTTAGAACTGGGGGTTCATCTGCCTTGGTCCCTGAGCCAGCTGTCCCCCAGTTTCATCTCGACACCCCCTCTCACCTTCTGCCCATAATTCAATCCACCTTCTCTCCTCCATGGGGAAGGCACTGGGGAACAGAAACCCATGGGGAATGCACTGGTGCATTGGGCAGTCATGCCACTCACGAGGTTCGCCCAACGATCGCTGTTTTTCCCAGTAATTGGCCTCTTCAAATTTCACTGTGCACTTTCCATACCTCTCCATCAGTCTGGGGCAAAACTCTCCTCACTTGAATTAATTGGGAGTTTGAAGGGAGGCTTGTATAAATGAATAAAACCAGCTGAATTACAAAAATTTGCTTAAACAAAGAAATGAAGCATAATCTTTTTGAAGTGGATCCAGCCCTTTTGGTGGCCTGCAAGACCCTCTGTAAGCTGGCTCTGATGACCTCTCTGACCCCTTCTCCAGCTGCCCGCTCCCCGCTCACTCTGCGTCAGCCGTGGTGGCCTCCGTGCTAGTCTCTCTGCACCTCGCTGTCACTCATCTTCACGACTTTGCAGCGGCTATGCCACATGCCTGCCTGTTCTCATCTCAGCTGCCTCCCTCTTTGCCTTCAATTCAGCAAACTGAAGACTTTTCCTGTCCAGAGCTTCCTTCTTGCTTCCTGTCCTGGGACTTCCCGTTCTAACACTTTTCCAAAATACTTGCTGCTTTCCACCAGACCATGTATGATAATATGTTTGTGTCCAGTCCCACACAGTTTAATGACAAGGACCTGTCCTGAGAATTCCATCGTGTGAGGATAGCAGAGCACTTACCCTACCTACAGGGTCCGGGTCGCTCACTCAACTGATGCCCTCAAGAAACACAGTAAATATGAGCTGCATGATGCAGTTGCTATCAGCACAGCAAGCTCTACTGCAGAACTTGTTTACAGGTAGAAGGAGTACACCCTAAAATACTGACAGAAAGTATAGTAAATATATTAACCAGTACCATAGTGATTTATATCAAGGGTTATGCTCTCTACATCATTGTGTGTGCTATACTTTTATATGGCTGATCATGCAGTATCTTTGTTTTCATCAGTTACCACTACAGGAGAGCAGTGTGTCT